CCTTAAGGTTTCATTTCTAGTCCTACTCTTAATGGATGAAATCATTCATTAAGTAAACCTTAATCACACTTTACTGACCTAGGGCTTGTGACCTAAGTGACTCAACTAAATTGATCTTGACACCCCACTGGTCACAAAACACGACCCAAATCAAGATCAAACCCTAAACCTACACTTAGGGTTTACCTTTATTTATTTTTGAATTAATTTAGAATTAAGCTCAAAATGAACTTGCTCCAAATGATCTCAAAAATTTACACAAGCATCCTCATGATAAATTAGTGTACCAAAATAAATTTCATAATTTTTGGAGTTATACAGTGGCCTACAAAAATCATGGAAATTGTATTTATTAATTAATTGACTGAATTTTTGAACATTAAAAATTCATCCAAATTTCAAGTTTCATATTTTTAAACCATAGTAGAACATATATAGAAGCTACCCACAAATTTTTAGAATTTTTAGATCTGTAAATAAATTCCTACAAAATTGCAAAATTGCTGCACTATTCAAAATTCAGAAATTAGAAAAAGCTCACTGTTTTCTCTCTCTCTCTCAGTCAATTCCAGCGTGTCACACATCATTAGAGACAGTGCGCGGGCGGCGCTGCTGCCGACTCCGACCAAAGAAAAACGCGCCGTCGGTGAGGCTCCGGCGAGGGGGACCGGTACCAACATGATCACCACCTCACGGCGGACCTATCCCGACCCTTGGACAAGCAAAGCAGCACACCGGAGATGACACTACGACGGCCATGGCGCACTTGCGCGCGCGATAAACGCGGTGGCACACGCGTATCACCGGCAACAACACAAGAGAGTCTAAAGCGAAGGGTGAAACACGATCAGGGACTCACCACGAACACGTTGATGTGCTCGGTGGAGTCGGAGACACTCTGGAACGTCCTGGCCACGGCGAGCTTGACGGTGGAGGAGCTCCGGCCGGGCTCGGGGAAGAAGCAGTTGCGCCGGGCGACTCCGGCCAACCCAAGTGGCGTAGGCAAGCCGCAGAGAGGCGCAAGGCTGAGGCGATCACGTAGGCGTAGCTGGGCACGACGGATGCTGCTCGACGGAGGCTACGGCGAGCGGCGGAGCAAGCTGGCGGCGGAGCAGAGCAGAAGGGGAAATGGGAGGAACGACGGTGGCAATGAGGCTATTTATAGCCGGGATGAGCTCGCCCGGCTGCGACAGCGCACGACGGAGGCGCCACGGCGACGGTGACGTGCCTGCGCGCGGGAAAGCGGCGAGGACTGATCGGCGGCGGCAAGCAGGAGGTGGCAAGCTGCTCCGGTGGAATTTCAATTTATTTACAGTTTTGCCACTGAGTTCATTTAGCAAATTACTCTCAAACTTTCTATAGAAGTTGAAAATCTCAAAAATAAAAGTTGCTCAACTTTTCAAGTACTACAACTTTGGTTTAAGAAACATTTTCAAATTCTGCCTCCATTTTGAAATTCAAATTTGGGGTACATTTAAAGATTTGAATCATTTCAAAATTACTCCAAACTTTATATGTAAACTTTAAAAACTTTGTATACCAAAGTTGATCCTCATAAGATAAGCTTCAACTTTGCTTTTTACCATACCCCAAAATTCCAATTAGATTTTGAAATGGATAAAAAGGGGCAAAAAGGATTATTTAATTTGAATTAAATTCAATTTGATTTATTCATCTTTTTACTTTAACTTTGATTTTTTACCAGTAACTTGGCCCATTAGGGTTATTTGAGTCAAATGACACATGGCCTTACATGATCACATGAAATTTGACCCTTGTGGTCATGATCTTTATTTAGGGTTTTGAATCACATCACATGAAATAACAACATACTAAATAAAGCTTATTTAGTGAATGCATTCAAAAATTTTCTACTATATGAATGCTTTGCAATGCATATGATGATATGTCAAATTTTAGTGCTAGGTCAAAACACCAGAGGTGTTACAGAAAGTTACTTTCTGTGTTGCTTAGATTTTTTTTTGATCAACTTTAGACATGGAAGGAGTACTATCGTCCTCCACGAAAGAAAGTAATTTTCACTTTTTGATTTGAGGAGACTGCTTTTAAATTTGATAGAAAAAATTACAAAATGTACTAACATTTATATTTATAATATAAAATAAGTATCATTAGATTAATTATGGAATATATTTTCATTACAAATCGATTTGGAGGCATAAATGTCGATAATAGTCACTGTAAACTTGATCAAACTTAACTATTTTCGCATATTATACGTGGACGGTGGGAGTATATCCTAGTAAATTCTTTAAAGCCTTATTCGGGTGTTATCGGATTTACTTCGATCTACATGTGTTAATTTTCACTTCAATCTATCTCAACACATGTAGATTTTGACTACAACTAAACGATGCCTTAAGTGATTATTATGGTACGAGCTTTACGGTTTCTAGCTTGTCTGTCCGTCTGCGCCGTGGGCCCTACATGCTGGTTACCTTCTGCTTCTGTCTCTCGAGTGAATGGAGGTCATGGGGCACCTGTCACTGGCTGGGAGGCAGTGAGGCGACTTGAGCATCATATGTCAGCTCAGGCCACGGCCACCGCTCTGCTGTCTGCTCCCACCTCCCTGGCATTGGCTCTTCCCGTGTCTGCTCTGCACGCGTGCAGCCTCAGCCTGCAGGCTACCCCGAGCAGGCAGGAGCCTTGCGCGATTTTTTGTTACTCTACCCAGTTAGCGCCACAAATTATCCTTTTCCGATCATTTTATTTTTAGGGAGCTCATCAAGCCTTGTCACGCAGCAACCAGCAGCAATGATTTTCTCACAGGAGGAGGTACTAGTGACTAGTGAGTTACTTAATTTTAGTGGTCCTTGTAGCTTTCCACAAACAACAAAAAGAAAATGGCTAAAATAAGGCAGGGAGAACCGTAACAATCAGGCTAACTGAGGAGCAGAGAATCAGAGATGCAGAAGTAAATGGCTAGCTAACTGAACCGAGAATCAATTCAATTCAGAATAAGACGTGAACTCGTTCCTACAGTACTTGTCAACTGATCACAGTTCTGAACTGAAAACAATTCAACCTAAGGTCTGAACCATGCAACAGAAATTCTTATACCCTACGACATACGGAGTACATACACATGAACATGCTCCCCTATCCTATCTCAAGGCAGATCAGACTTGAAACGCATCCAGCTCAAGGCATGGTAGCATAGCAACCAGACAGTGAGTGCATGCGTTGCTAATAAGCCCAGTGGCCCTCCCTTGCTCCACCATGACACTATGTAAAAAAAGGTCAAATCCACCAGCGGCACCTACAGACGCGGGACGAACGCGCGTTTACCAACAAGCGTCAGTAGTTACTCGTCGACCGAGGTGATCGGTCCGGCGGGGCACACGCCTGTAATAACTGGATGCTACAAACGCGTGTACTGAAGACGTGTCTAAAGCATTGCGTCTGCAGTTAGTCGACTTATGACAGACGCCGTGCCTACCTGGGTCCTACAGCCTTCTTGATGACAGGAATGGGTGTCCGGAGCAGTTGGCTTCACAGCCCGATCGCTGGGCTGGCTGGCTGGGGCTGGGCTGGCCAGCCACCTCACAAAAAAACTGTTCATCTGAATCACTCAGCAGTACTTCTCTCTCACATAAACGAATCAGCAACGATACGAACCAGCCAACCGAACAGGCTGTTTGTTCTCCTTCTCCTCGCGCCGATACATCTCAGACCTCTTTAGCTGCCGCTCCTTCGTCTTCCGGGCAGTCCCAAGCTTCGCCTTGTTCTCACTGTTCCTCCTCACTACCAGATTGGCTGCATGAACCAAAAGTTTGGTTTATTGCCAAACATTGTACTGCAATAATGATGTGGGCTGTGGAAGTATAGACATATACACTGTAAGCCTGTAACTGTGAGACCTCAGAAACAGAATCTTGACATATCAACTTGGAGCTTGAGTACTTGGCACATCAAACTGCTCTCCAGCTGCAGTGTGCTCTGGTTCGCCTTCCGCTGTGCCTAGGGGTGAAACGGTACGGATATTTTTCGACCGTATTCGAGACCGAATCTGTTTAGAGTGGTCAAGATCTGTCCGTATCCGAGTCCGGATATCCAACATCCAATATCATATCCGTATCCGAATACTCAAATTGCATATTTATGATGTCGATATCCAATCGTATCATATCCGGTATGGCTGGCATTATCCATATTCGAATCCGAATCCGAGCAAAAATATGAAAACAAATGAAATATTAGTGATATCCGTTCGTATCCGATCCATTTTTATATCTAGCTGTGCCTCAGGGGTTGCCTCCGCGCCACTGTCCCTCATCTCCAGATTGTCTGCATGAATAAGAATAAGAGGTTCAGCTTCTTGTCAGACATTGACTGCAGCTTAACGATGAATCATCAATGGATTACTAATTCCATGGTTTCAAGCAAGCTTTACAGACATGACAAATAGCCGACGAGACCCTGAAACCAGCACATAACTATTACACGCTATTGCTGTTGCAACGTGAAAGAGCACATTTTTCAGTTTCTTATCAGACAATGTGCTTCTAGACGAATTTCGTCAGGAAATGTGTTGGATTTGCAATACATTAACATGTCAATACTAAAATTAAGATGTAGTGATGAAGCAATCAAACCGTACTGCCAATTCTAAAAGCTTATACGGTCTCACTACGAAAGTGCATTGGTTCTGAAACTATCCTATCTGTCGCTTGGTTCCGATAATCTTCAGTCCTGAAAAACTACATATTCCCAACATTTTTTTACTAAGCCAATTCAATTTCTTGCAGACACCAATAGAAACGCGAGAAATTCAGTTTATCGTTGTAAACGACTACTCTGCATGTGACAGAATTGCTGAATATGGTGAGGATTTATATTTTAACTTTCCCATTCGATTCATTGACCTCTCAGAATCAACCAGGAAATTCAATTTTTAGTCAGACATTGTGTTTCCTGACAAACTGTCAGAAACTGTGTTTAAATGCCATTAGTGAGATTAAGTACTAACGATGAAGTGATCACATCATGATATTTGTTGGCATGTCAACTAGGATCTTAAGTGCTTGAGCATGCTTACCGGCGTCGCAAGGCCAGGCTGCAGCGTGTTGCTCTTGTGTGTGCTGGGACATCTCATAGCTCTCTAGTTGTAGTGTTCTCTGGTTCAGGAAGCTCTCGCTCGCCTTCAGGTCTGCCTCAAGCGTCGCCTCCGGGTCACTGTCCCTCATCTCAAGATTGGCTGCAATTGAATCATGAGTTCTACTTTTTGTCAGTTTGTTGTACTGCATCAAGAAAGGAGTTAGCGATGAATGAATGGAGTCCTACTTCCCTGGTTCCCAGGAAACTTTACAGAAATGACAAAAAAAATCTGACAACACCCTGAAACAAGCACATAACCACTATTGTGCTTCTAGACGAGTATAGTCAGAAAATGCGTAGAAATCATTGGAGCTTATATACTCTTATTACTCCCGTGGAAGTTCATTGGTATACCTGCCATTTTTGGTTCTGAAAGAAAATTGCACGAGATTAACTTAAGCCACAGTCCTGTCCAGATTCATTGATGTATCCCATCTCCCATCGGCAGTCCTGAACATCTACATATTCGTTGATGACTTGTTCACCAGGCTAATTTGTGCAGGCTAAATCACTGAACAAGATTTATGGGTAATCTGCTAGCTACTACTCAAATTTCATTTTTGTTTGGTTAGTTCGAAAACACAAATGGCAGGTTCAGTTAACCTAGTCAAAATTTCCTTCTAGATTCATTGACCTCTAAGGTTCAGCCAGGAGGGGTTGAACTTGAACAATGCTGCTTACCGTCGAGGCGGTCGTGAGGCCAGACGAAGTAGTCCCAGTCCCACCTCTCGAAGTCATACTGGGGCCGCCGGAGCTTCACCAGCGGCTCTCGCACGGCGGTGGCGAACCCGAACTCCGGGCCCCTGCAGAGTGCATCGCAAACACGAGGGCGAGACGAAGACGAATTCAGACATTCAGTGGACATGCAAAGCCAAGAAAGAAGAATGCCAACCATCGGAACAAGCATCCTCCATGGACGGCAAAAGGAAGAAAGGCAACAGCAAAGGAAAGAACCGTCCATGGACTGGAGCAGCAGGGGAGAGGGCGAGGGAGAAGCATCACAGAAATCAAGAACGATGGATCCGGTTGCTGGTTGATGCTTTCTCGTTCTCCTACTACCTACCTGGGAATGGGGGAACCCCAGTCCGTCTCGATCTCCGCTCTCAAACAGAAGCCACCGTTGCGGTGCTGTCGCCGCAGTGTCCACCCGTCGTCCATGGCCGCCACCGTCTCCATGGCCGTCGCCCTCGTGCCCCTCCCCCTCTCTCTCTGTCTCGCCCACCGACTCGCTCGCTCGCGCTGTGGCGTTCGTTCTGTTGCGCGCGCTGGTGTCGTGTGTGGGTCTGGGAAACGGATGGAGCGAAGCGGGGGAGGGGGATTGATTGTTTTTATAGGCAAGGAGGAAGCGGGAAGAAGCAGCAGAGGAGAGCAGAGCAGGGGATGTGGGGAGGGAAAAGTTCGTTAGAAAGGAGTAACCGTTGCGATGAGACCTGGCTGGCGTGTTTCTGAGGACTACCCCCGTGTGGCCTAGCCTGTGGCTCCCCTCTCGTCGTTAGCCCAGCACCAGCGGATTGCTGCCCGGCCAAATGTTGGACGTTCATTGCCTAGGTTATATGGGTGGGTAATTTAGATTGGCTGTTACTTCAGGTTATCTTTGATTTGATTAGAAACATATTAAATTTTGCCTAGATTATATGTGTGGGTAATTTAGATTGGTTGTTATCTTGGATTAGTAGAAACATATATATGCTTACCTATGGTATAACTTTTCGTAATAGTAGACGTTTGTAATTTAGGAGTAAATTTGAGCTGATCTTTTAGTGTTTTTAATGATGATATATGTAGGTAATTAGATGCAAGTTGACGAGTTTTATTTATTATGACGGTAGGCATGGGCAATTTGTATTCAAACGTAGGGTTACTTTAGTTATTTTTTTTATATTGGTAGAGTGGGTAATTTAGATGTAAATTTAGGAGTTATTTTAGATTATCTTGATTTAGAGTGTTATGTTAGATTATCTTTCATATGATATATACATGTGGGTAATTTAGATACAAATTTAGTGGTTACTTATATTATTTTTAATAATGAAAATTGTGGGTTAACTTTTTAGAAAATTGAATAGATTTAATGGCTATTGTTGTCAATGAGCATTTTTTATTTATGTGAGAATTTCTATGCTTTATTTCTTTCATAACGTGTCTTGTAAGCATTCACATGGAGGTTCCGTCAGAAACATCAAATTGGCATTTATATGTTTTATCTCTTTTTTTCTACAGTGTCTCAAGAAAATTAACGTGAAAATGGTGGGATTAAAATTGGTTTTGCTTAGTACTAGGACATAATACATAAGATTCTACAATCCAGATTAGTTCAATCTTATATTGTCACCTCCCTTCTTTTCTCTCTTATCCTAACTAGTAAATTTGCTAGTGTGTTGCTACGTAAAGAAAACCATATATCACCCTAAGGGCTTGTTATCCACATGTGTTGCAGTGGACAAGCCCTAACGTGTGACGAGGTTCGTTCATAATTAAACATAGGCTTGTACTTTTGTTTAATTTATTATTTATGCTGTTTTACCATTGTGTCCCGTTAACATTAGCCTAAGTGGGATGGTAGTTATGGGACTTAGGGCAAGATAACCTAGGTTAACACCGACGTGGCCTTAGAGTAGTCAAGCATCAAATTTCAACACTACGGGGACCAATGTTTCAAATCCAAAATCTAGCATTGAGGAATACATATGCAGCGATACCAGCCTTTCAATTTAATAAAATATTTTTTGTCTTCCGATCTCGTATAAAAAAACATGAATGAAAGGGTTGATGCCTCAAGTTGGATCCCATAATTTTTTGGACAATCGTTTGGCATGTTGTGACCCAGAACAATGTTGGAGCATTGGGCATACACGTGAAAGGACATTTGAAGCCCTGGTACACTGCGGATGCTCTTATAGAGAGCCTAAATACGACTTGTACAGGGCAGACAAAAGAGGTGAGTGCATGGATTAGTGGTTAGGGTTGTTTAACCTATTTTCCGATAACTGCTATTGAAGATGCTACCACTGCCTCGCTAATTTCCACCCCGCTACACCTCCTCGGTTGAAGCTCTCTACGAGGGAGTGTACTCCTGGTTCAAGGAGGAAATGTAATAGCCATTGACAATATTGAGGCCGAAGCTGGTCCAACATATACAGTCATGTAGCAATGGTTTGATTCTAGGAGCGTAATAGCTGAAAACGTGTCTAAAAGAGTCTCCCATCCTAAGTAACATTTTTTATTATGCTTGACCTAATTTTATATAAATAAAACTAATGGTTATGAATTATGACACAAAATTGGTATAGTTAACATCAAATATATTTTTATGCAATACTTTTTTCAATATCACATATATTAGTACTTTTTATAAAGGGACCTGCTATACTTCAGACGCCTGAAATAGGCTTCTGTTCAGGCGACATGTATTTGCATTGCTCTCTAATCAATGACACTTAAAACGGGTCCACAAAATCTTGAAGCAATATCGACGGAGCACACGTTGCCTGAATAGATCAAAAATTTTAGGCGACTGACACATAGGAAAAGTGTTTTATAAAATAGATCAAACTTAAAAATGCTTTGATTTTATGGTAATTATAGAAGTTGATTTATATTCAAATAAGAGACTATTTACCGTCAGTATCTGAGTCAAGCACACATTTTCAAATAAAAAAGGAGATTGTTGCCCCCGGATCCGATTAGGACGCTGAGCACAGGGCACCCTTTTATAGACACTCATCAAGATATACACAAAATGTTCAGTCTTCTGTACTCGTTCGCCTTCGAATCGGTGGCAGACTGCCGCTAGAAACGTCATGGCGAATGGCGAGGTTAAGTCTCCGGAGGAAACCGCTGCACGTAGATTGCCGCGGCCTAACTTAGCCTCACCTTCCCCGCATAGTTAGCTCTGAATCCTTCTCGTCGTCTCTACTTCCAGCCTTCGTCGAGGATAACCTTCCCCCTACCTGCGGGTATTTATAATACTCTAATTTAATAACTAATATACAAAACGGGTTACGTCGCCGGTGAAGTTTTCGGTGAAAAATGGAACCTGTAAAAAGAGCCAGTGAAGTTTTCGGTGAAAAATGGAACCTGTAAAAGACAACTTTATTTCTCGGTGCTTTTATTGTTATCGATAACGACCAGACAAAAAGGGCCGAGTGTTTTTTTAGCTAACATAAATGTCCTTGTGTTGCAACGGAAGAAAAAAATAGTATCTATATGCCAATAGACTTGATTTAACTCAATGATCACCTCATCTTCCTCTGTACCTCACGTTCCACCGCACAACTCAAATTTAGAGTAAGTGTTTCTCCCCCATCACCAACCACGTGGCACAATAATGTTAATTTGGTCATGATATTTATACTCTTTTCTATAAATATGGTAAAATCTAAAATAGTCTGACTTAAGATAATTCTAAAAGTTGATTTCATTTGGGCAGAGTGGGTATAAAAAAGAGTCTTAATAATAATACATGCACACTTTTCACATTGTTGTGCTTTAGCTATGATAGCAAATATACATGTGTGTTACAACGAGAGAAGAAATGGTGGTTTGTGCCAACAAACTTGGGAGGGTGAAGGGTGAATAGAGCGAATGGAAGGGGAACTGAGGAAGAGAGCCGAGTAATCAACCAGCTAAAGAGACCCTCTCCAGCTCCCCCTCCACCCCTTTTATAGGGGAGGTCGGAGAGGAGGTTCTCTTAACGTCTCTTGGTGGGGTTTGTATTTATAGAAACGCCACTAGGAGCTACAAATGGACCCCTTAGGGGGGCTTGTATTTACAAAAATAGCACCAAAGGCTACAAATGGCCCCTAATTATTATTTGGTGAGACCTAGGCTATGTAATTGGGCTCCATAGGGGGTCTCCAACATATGACACACTCCCAACAAGAAATTTAATTTTTGAATCCATTATTATATAAACCACTCTAGTCAAAATACAACCATAAATCATTAAATTGACTTTAATGTAAAAAGGGCTATAGATCCTAATCAAGATTCATCGTGGATCCATGACACAAAATTTTATTGGCTACTATTAACTAAAATTGAAGCATTATTGCAATATCATTACTTAGTTAATGCATTATTAGGCAACGACCACTGAAAGGAATTACCTCGGTAGTATTTTGTTCGTTTGCTTTCATCTATCTGGGTCCCATACCTCAATTAGGAGCAGACTCCATCTCACATATCCTTCTCATACACACGTCTAGCCCAAGTTGTTCCCTCCTTTCTACTTGCTCGATCACCTCCTTCTCTCTCCCCCTCCATGAGCTCTCTACATATAGGTATAGATATAGATGTAGAAAACTAATTCTTTTGGGAGGTTTATTACTGACAATGACTGAAAGATCCTTGTTTGGTTTTGATAATTGAATGACAACCTAGGTGGACTAATATGTGTTTGATATGAGAATACACAGGAAATTAGTCCACAGGTGAATGTGTGATAAAGGAACTCATTGCATATGAGACATGACATGGAGTCATGTGACTAAGGTGGAGAAGATCAAGACAAGACTTGGCTTGATGGACCGGTTGCAAGTGTGAAGGGCAAGTCGGAGGCTTTGAAGCGAGGGACCGCGTGTGACGGTGAAGCTTGAGCAAGACTTGGCGCCGATGGACCGATGCAACAGTGAAGAGCAAGTGAGGTCAAGGTCGATGAACCAATACGATCACGTGATGATATGAAGTGGATCATATCATTTGTGATATGGTTGGTGCATGTATTGCATCAACATTGGAAGAGATGAAGTGAAATGGAATGCGTAAGGCAAAGGTATAACCTAGGGCATTTTATTTCACCGGTCATAGGTGTGTAGAGAAGTTTGTGACCGGGTTTAGGATAGATGGCCATACTATCAAGAGGGGCAAACTTGTTTGCATATCGGTCATCTAGTGTCACTTGAGCGATCTAACTTTGTGACGTGATAAGATCGAGTGGCGTGGAAAGTGTGAGTGAAAATCCTTTGAAGTATGATTGCGAAACGCTAACACACATGCACACGGTGGTGTACACTTGGTGGTGTTGGCACATTTACAAAGGGTGGAAGTTCGGTGGTGAAGTAAGAGGAGAAACTAGTGGGTAGTCCCTCTCTATTCGGAAGTGTCCTTCACTATTTTTAGTGCACCGGACGCTGGTCTCGGGTGCACCGGACGCTGCACCGGACGTGTCCGGTGCT